TGTGCCCGAGGTTCATCCCGAGGGCATGCCTGCCTGAGCGTCCGCAACCATTTGCTGCCTCATGCGCACTCTGTGAGTGTGAGCGTGGGGCGAATGTGGCCGTCCGTGGACTTGTGTTCCGGTCGGCTTGATTGCATGTGGATGGTGTGGCCCCCGACTTGTCCGTGTGGCATCGATGGCATGCACCCCACCTAGTGGCGAATCGGGTGTTTTATGGTAGTGACGATGTCAACTAGTGCACCAAGTGCCTCTAGTCATTGGAAGAGCAAGTGTCTTAATACAATGTCAAAGGCCATTCTAAAATCCACAAAGCAACAAAGGAGCCTGCCTCCTTTTGCATGGGAGTGATCCAATAGGATTTGAAATGTAATCAGGTGGTCTATGAACTTCTGCGTGGGTGAAAGCTAGCCTGGCCCAATGCACATACATGTGTTGTTTTTACCCACTGCATCAGCCACTTTTCTAGCATCTGTGCACATAGCTTGGAGAAGACATTGCTTATTATGATGCATCTATAGTTGAATAGGTTGTCTTTATTCCCTGTTCATCCACACAATTGTCCATGTTGTTAGGAAGCTAGTGTTGGCTATGTTGTTAAAGATTCCTATGAGGATGGGGGTGAAGAAATTTTCATCTGTAACCAACAATATCTCTCCAGTGAGCCATTGTGCATCTGGGGCTTGGCATTTTGGCAATTTGCAAATGGCATTGGCAATGTCTTTTATAGAGAAGGTGGTTGTCCTCAAGAGAATACAAAAAGAAAAGCTTTGAACTAGCGTTTACTTCCACAATTCAAGGTCTTTGACCAAGGAATCGATGCCGGATCGAGAAGATCCTCCTTCTTCCATCCCCTGTCTAGCGAGTTCTCCAAGATCGCTGGCTTTCTTTCCAAGCTCATCCCGCCTTTTAAACATGAGCTCCTGGATTGCAGCCTCCAAATCGGCCTTGCTCACAACGTCAGTAATGGCGTTACCCAATCTTACCGAAATCCCCCACTCCTCGTCCAAGATCTTCCTCGTCAAGCACTGATCGGCCATTCGCGGCATCGACATCACAGGAACGCCAACGGTGACGCTCTCCAAGATCGAATTCCATCCGCAATGCGTCAAGAAACCGCCCACCGCACGGTGCCCGAGGACCGCAACCTGGGGTGCCCAGTCGGTTAGCAGCCCGCGGTATACCGTGCCACCATTAACGTGCTCTAAGGCACCACCGGACTTGAGCGCGTACCGCGCGGTAGCGCCGAATTCCTTCGGCACTAGCTCGAGCTGCTGCGGGCGTACCACCAATAGAAAAGCGATGTTCTTCGTGGATTCCAAAGCCAGGGCTATCTGCTCGAATTGGGCTGCCGGGACCGGAGCAATAGTTCCAAACGCAATGTATAGAACCGATCGAGACTCCTGTTTGTCCAGCCATGGAATTACCTGGTTTGGATCGTCTGGATCGCTCCCAGTGGAGATGTTTAGATGGAGAGGACCCACTGGAACGATGTTGATTCCACATAGCTCAAGAGCTCTCACCGCATTGCCTTCCAGGGTGTGGGAGGAGTTTGCCAGTACGCGATCAGCTTGGGAGCTATACCCCACAGCTTCCACAAAGGTCTTGCCAACAATGTCGGCGCTGAATTTTGGATCTGTGGCATGGTGTAGCGTCATGTAGTCCAAGACCTTGAGGTCCGCAAGCCCTGGAATCTTCACCACGGTTTCGAGATCTAGCAGTCCAAGTTTTCTAAGATCACCATTCCTGGAAGAAAGCGTTTGGAAATCACGTACCTTTGATCGCATTCTCGGAGATAAGCCTTGGTAAGTTACTATACACAGCAAGCTCGGTCATGGTGGACGTCCAAAACGCGACCCACGGCACGCCCAAGTCCCGGGCAACGTCTCCGCCCCAACCCACGAGAACGTCGCTTATGACGCACGTCACTCTGCGGTGCCGCCAGCGCGCCGCCACGGCACCGCCCAGCGCCTTAAACTTTAGGAAGAACTCGAGGAAGAGCTTCACGTTCCTCTCGGCCGGACGCTCCAGCGGCAAATCCTCGTAGCGCACAAACTCCAAACCTTTCTCTGGCTGCGATGGTGGCGCCCCTCCAGAGGGTGGCGACTTGTTTTGCGGGAGCTGGAGGATCGTGACGGCGATCCGGCCGCCAGTGAGAGAGTGGAGATGGCGACTGAGATGGAGGAGAGGGATCTCATGGCCCTTGAGGAAGAATGGCACTGCGAGAATGTGTATGTGATCCAAGTGCTCTTCCTCCATGGCTCCGAGCTTCCAATTAAGACTTGAAAAGTTCTTTTTATCTTCTACCAGCTCACTTTAAAAGTGCTCTGTGTCCCTCGTTGCTCGCTCCCTGACAATGCTCTCACATACGTGGTTTGTTTTTTTTTCCTTTACTGTTGCTTTTTTTTTTCGCTCTTGATTCTCTTTTGTCACACTCTATCATTTATTAAAATAGACAGATAGTTAGTGTCAATCAATCAGATATGAAAAGATTTTGCTATGTTTATAGTATAACATTAAGTTTTGGAGGGTTGGTTTTTTAGGTAGAGTTATTAGGATGTATGACATGGATCCAAGTGGAGTGTGGATGCATTGAGCAAGCTCGTCCACTGCTCCACACTGGGCTCCATCGGCATGGAATTCACGAGCGCCTCGGCATCGCGCAGATGCCCACACCGCCCTAGCAGATCCACCACGCAGCCGTAGTGCTCCGGGATTGGATCCACGCCGTGATCGCCTTGCATCGACGCAAAGATCTCCATGGCCCTCCTCGCCAGTCCGCCATGGCTGCACGAGAACAAGAGGCTGACGAAGGTCACTGCGTCTTGCTCGATCCCTTCCAGCCCCATATCGCGATGCAGGCAAAGAGCTCTCTGGATCTCGCCACACTCTGCGTATGCCGCGATCATGCTGCTCCAAGCTACCGGGTTTCGCCGATCGAGCGAGCGGTCGAAGGCTGTTCTCGCGGATTTCGCAGCGCCACACTTGGCGTAGAGATTGATCGCGAGGGTGTCCACTCTCGCCGATAAGATCCCGCTCTCGAGGAACCACGAATGCACAGCACCTCCCCGGTGTGGGCACTTCATCTCTCGGCAAGCGGTCAGCGCAACCGCGAAGGCCATCTCGTCGGGAACGGTGCCGTCGTGGAGCATCGCGTGGAAGAAGTGGAGAGCCAGGCGTGGATCGCCGCTAGAATTGGCCGCGGTCATCATCGCCACCCACGGCCACACGGATCGCTCTTCCAATCGCTGGAAGAGATCTCTTGCGCGGTCCAGGCCGCGGCCGAGCTTCGTGTGGAAGCTCATGAGCGCGGTGGTGACGACGGGCACGAGCTCTAGTCCGGCCTCTCGGATGTGTCCCTGGATTCGATCGAAGTGTTCTTGGATCGATGATCTTCCATCCTCGATGCGATTGAGCTCCTTCTCACAGGCCGCGATCAGTGAGAGGAAGGAGACGTGATTGGGCCGGATGCCCTCGAGGAGCATTCTTCGGTAGATCACGCACGATTCGGCCATGGTTTCTTGCGAGCTGATCATCGCTGACCACGTCACGACGCTTGATTCTTCCTCCACCTTGGCTTGATCGTCGAGCAAGTCGCTCGCGAGATGGAGCAGCCCACAGGCAGCGTACATCCCCGCTAGCGCATTGCCCACTGCCACATCGCTAGAGATTCGCGAGGGCGAGGCGAGGATCCGTGCGTGAATCGATCGCCCCTGGACGATGTTTTGGGTCGCTGCGCAAGCGCCCAGGATCGCCACGAAGGTGATCTCGTCGCCCTTGACGCCCTCGAGATCCATTCGGCGGTGGAGTTCCAACGCTTCCTCGGATTCGCCCCAGCCCAGGCAAGCAGAGATCATTGTGTTCCAAGAGACCAGATTCTTTGCCGGCATGCTCGTGGAGAAGAAGGACCGCGCGTCCTCCACGCCGGTCTTGCCGTAGAGATTGAGCAGCGCGTTGAGAAGCGCGTCGTGGATCTCTACACCGCTGCCCAGGATTCGCGAGTGGATTGATCGCGCTGCTTCCACATCATCGCCCAGGCGCGCGAGAGATTGGACGAGGGTAACGAATGTGACGCTGCTGGGCTTGATCCCCTGGTGTTCCATCTTCCGGAAGAGTTCCAACACAACCTTAAAATCCCCATTCCGGGCATTTGCCGCGAGGATGATGTTCCAAGACACCACGTCTCTCACAGGCATCGCCTCAAGAACACAGACCGATTCCTCGACAAGATCACATTTGGTGTACATTGTAAGGATAGAATTCGCGACGAAGGTGTCGGCATCCAGCCCGATTCGCGAGGAATCGTTGTGGACGAGTTTGCCCACTGTGCTGTTCTTTAGCGCCGAACACGCGCCCAGGACATTGATCACGGTCGTTTCGTTTGGGCGGGCATCCATTCGCCGGTAGAGCTCCAAAATCTCTTCGTGCAGATCCCTCTCCGCGTAGGCGATCATCATCGCGTTCCAGCACGACACGGATTTGGGAGCGATTCGATCGAAGGCGTCCCTGGCAGCGGCAAGATCGCCACACATGCTATAGGATTTGATGAATCCGGGCTCCGATCCATAGCCCATGCCGGTGAGCTGCGCGTGGATAGATCGGCACACGGGCAGCGCGCTCGGATCCGAGCAGGCGCTCAGGATCGTGAGGTAGGTCACTCGATCGGGCCTGACGCCCTCGAGCTGCATGGATTGGAAGAGGTGGAACGCGCGGGAATAATGCCCCTTGCGGGCATTTGCTGCGATCAGGAGAGTCCACGACACCGCATTCTTGTGGGCGAGCATTTGGCCAAACACAGTGGTGGCATCGTCCAGGCTGCCGCATCGGCAGTAAGCCTCGATGAGGAGATTGCTGATAAACAGGTGGGAGCGGTGATCTCTGGCAATGGTGGCGTGGATCTTCTTGCAGAGCGGGAGGGATTGGGTAGCGGCACAGTCGCGGATGATCGAGGCCAACAAACGTTCTTGTTCTTCGTCGGGATCATTGTTGGGATCTTTGTCTTGGGTCTTGGTCTGGTCGAAGAGGTGTGTTGCGAGATTATCAAGGCGATCGATCTCCGCGGCTGAGCTGGGCACGAATCTCTGGCAGCATTTCCTTGTGCCGTGGATCATAAGAACATTCTAGTTCGATGGAGTGAGATGCGTGAGCCAATCAATCAAGAATTCCTAAGACTCTTTTTGTTGGTACTCAGACTCTCCTCAATCACAGGCACAAGATGGTAACCATGGTGGCGAGCGTTAGCAACAAGAACGCCGCGTAAACCATCCGGATGAGGTGGGAGGGTACTACCACTACACCAGCTGCGCTTCACCATGGAAAAACCTTCATTACACGAGGCAGTGACAAAAATTTCTCTAACTTATGCTGTAAACTAAGTCGTCACAAAACTTTTGGTCTTATGAGCTCGATGCTTTCAAAGACAAGTTATATTTGCTGTGTTGAATCAACATTATTAAACTTGTTGCCACAGGCCGTTGGCCCATCCATTATTCTGGTCGATGAACTCAGCTTTGCTTCTGGCAAGTTCTGGAAGCCTGAACATAACCAACATCAAGGTGGTGTGCTTGAAGAGCATGAAGAGCAACTTGACGTCTTTCTTTCCGCAGGGTCAGCTGATCTCATTCGGGTGGCAAGTACCAGAAATTTGAGGCAGAAAACTTGTCAAAAAACAGATAATTGCTGCGGGTGAATTCTCGGACTCTAGCCAAATACGTCTATGTGTACAACCAAAGCTGTAGCAGAAATTGAGATAAGAACTTCGTCAAATCTTGCACACAATTTTGGAGGTCTTCATGGTTGAACCTTATTCGCAGGAATGTCGACTTTTGCATGAAGGCCTTTCCTCTTTTCCATCCAAAGCATCACTGCTGTGAAACTGAGGTTCTCTCCCTCTCTAGGCTGATCGTGAGCCTGGAGCAGCAAAGATACGCACAGCTGAGCTTTCATAACTTTCCAGTCCCCATCACCAATGCATCCGCATTGCCTAACCAATGCGGTATTCACCTTATATCCATTTTCATAGTGGATCAAACTAAATTGTCCCAGTTCAACTGTTAGCTTTTCTCTCAGCTTCTTAACATCGTCACTGCTCGGTTCGAACATGCTCTTATGGTACAGCCTAATGAGGATAAGAAGATTACGAAGATCTCGTACAATCTGATAGTTGCCATCTACTTCCTCAACGGATGCAAAAGCCATGCCACATAGAGCCATATCGAAAGCTCCTCCACTATAATGATTTACATTGTATCCGATCTTCGTCTGAAACTCGTTGAGTTGCAGTGCAGCATCCATAGTTTCAATACATATGGCACACTGCTTTCTACTATTTAATGCTGCTTCAGCTTCTATAATGGTCCTTGTAACCTTGTGTACGTCTGGTGCAGAAAGCTGAACAGCAACATAAGCTAGACTTGGTGCTATTTTGTCTGACCACGTATCCTTGACCCTTTTGGACCAGTTGTCCTGTATCCTACCCATGATCAGCTTGAATGAGACCGCAAAGCATACGAGGCAAGCACGAGTTGTAGCACGCGCCAGTCCAAAGAATATCACATAGCACATCAACTCATAGCCTTCCAGAATTCTTAGCCAGTATTGGACCAAGTGTTCGTGGTTATGCACATCCTCCAAGGGCGTTCCTTCCATTAGAACGTGAAAGAACTGTAGCAAGTCATGGAACCACTCCCACTGGAAAATCTTTCTTGCCATTGTTTTCATGTCATCTTTATTGGTGACAAGCTCGACTGCGATGTCTATACGAGCAAGGAACCCTGGAGAGCACTGCATACTAAGATACAGCAATATGATAATGGAGCACACTAGAGTCTCCGGTCCAGCTGGATGATTGATTAGAAGATTGATGATCGTATAGTACGCTATAAATATCAGCAAACCCGTACCTTCTACCCAGAGAAAAGTATACTGACTATCGAAGTGTTTCATGTGCTGGAAAACCCCAAGAGCCTGACTCTGTAAGCTGCTTCCGAATAACATCTTGTCGACCACCTGGAACATATGTTCAGCTTGTTCATGGTCTGCTCGCTGTGGTTTTTCCTTGTTTCTCCATATCCTGAACACTTCATTGCTCCTAGCTATACTTACAAATATTGCAGATGGTAGAAGGATCCATAAGTCAAGTAAGAGATGACATCGAGGCAGCCACATGTACATGAGGTACTCCCAAAACCGAGAACGGAGACGTAGCATTTGTGACTTGGTTTCGTTCTTGCATCCACAAAAACGGATTGTAAGAGCCGCTAAGTAGCTGAGTAGGACAAGCTGTTGTCGGCTCTGTTCGCGTTTGAGACCACTTAAGGCAAGGAGCCCTGCTGCCTCAGTCAAACCCGTAGCAGTGAGGAGGTATCTCCTTGCAAAATTTTGAACAAGTAGACCGGGACCTAAAGAGAAGACTCCCAACTGCAGATTGAAGTACCTTGCTAGCATTGTGCATATCAATGTCGTGCATCCCGCGACTATAAACTTATCCCCAAAACTCCCACTGAAACTCTGTTGTATGTTGAAGAAGATGAAAGATATGTCATAGACTTTATCTCCCAGGATGATCAATCCAATGATAAGTAGCAGCACGACCACTGAGAAAATGCAGCCTAAGAGCTTAGCCAACCAATGCATTTTGCGTAAAGCTAGATCCAGTAAGCACTGAGATGCTTTATTTCGTTAAAGTGGAACTTTTCATTATCCCACTTATGGTGTGTGGCCACATGCCATTTTTATAACAACAATAAAAAATTGAAATTTTAGCTTTATAATTTATAAATTAAAAACTTTTCATATGATTTTGTGTTATAATATTGTGAAATATAAAAAATAAATTAAAAAACTGATAGAAATATTAATAAATATTAATTAAGTACTAGGAAATGGCATGTGGACACATGCTAATTAATGTCCCACTTTACTAAATAAGTTCCACTTTAACGAATGGGATGGAAATTATGAAAAATGCAGGGTTAGACCTCAATTCATCCTCATTGTGAAGAGCCAAATTGCCAAATTTGAGGAGGGAGTGAGTGGACAGATACAGGAGAGGCTACAATCGTTCTGCTGGAGAAAGCCAAATCGCCCCCTCTCCATCATACGATATGATACAATTACCATCCACTATATAGTATACAATTTTAATTGTATCTCCAGCACGATCTCGTCCTTAGCCATTTTTGCACGGCATCTGGAATAGAGGTCAACCTCTCCAAAACGAAGCTTAAGGTATTTGGACACTGCCTGTTTACCCTTGGACGCTTACAAATACCTGGGCTTAGAATTAACCCCTGGAAAGCGAGTTGCAGACCACATCAAAGCAACTCGCAGGGCATACCATTCTTTTCAATCCGATTGACAAATAACCAATGGAGTGTGAAGAGGTATTTCTTCCTCACAAAAGTATAGCACAACACTAGTGACACATCTCCGGGCATGAATGAGTGGGATCGAGTAAGAGTTGACCAGTTTATTCGGACTAAATTGCAGTCTGACGACGTCTCCTACCCCATCATCCTGCTTGAGTCTGGATTATAGCCATGGAAGTGCGTCATTGTATACATAAAAAAGGAAACGCCACCTCTCTAAAAAACACTCCATGCCGGCTATAGACGATTCTATCAGCTTAATGTATGAACGATTGGTGGCTGGACGTAAAAAAACTGGACATGGCACAAGCACTCCAAAAATGGCTTCAAGACAAGACAGTTAGAGCAGTGAAATATGAGATTTATCATTGACTGTGATGATCTTCTAGGGAGAGATCCATTTATGGAGTACCACCATGCTCCGCAATCTTAAAACATACCGGTCCATAATGTGATTTCAACCACCGCGATGCAGACGGCATATGGTCGAGCCGGAGAGCTGCCGAGATGGGATGCCCGAGCGAAATCTAGTTTCGTGGAGCTCCACGGTGACAGCCTATGAATCAAGCTTTGCGGTGGAGGCGGCCAAGCAGATCTTCGATGAGATGCCGCAGCACAGTCTCGAGAGCTCCAACGCACTGCTCGATGCGTACGCAGGAGTGCTCGAGATTCTTTGTGGGACTGCATCCTCTCGTGGACGTCCATCCTCTTGCTCACGCTCATGCAAAGCGACAACTTTTATCTATCACACTTTAAAATCTTTCAGACGCATGCCAAATCGTGTGGATGATCGTGGCGCTCGCTTGCACTGGGAGCTTCGATCGAGCCCTGGCTACGTTTGACGCTATCAGGATGGAGATTCTCCCAGACGAGGCTTGCTTCATTGCGTTTACAGCCATGCAGGAAAGATGGAAGCTGGCCGAGCTTTCTTTCGATCAATGCGGCAAGACTTTGGTGTGACCAAGATCACCAAGCAGCAGTACAGTTGCATGCTGGATCTCCTGGGACGATCTGGAACCCTGAGCTACGCCGAAGATCTCATTGCCATTTGATCCCCACATTGGAAGAACTGCCGCCAAGCGAGATTTGTAGTGTTCATAATTTGTTACTGACTTAACATCTCTCGGTTTGCAATGCAGGGAGTGCTGAAAGACGGTAGTGAAGTTGCCGTTAAGCAGCTGGACTTGCATTCCAAACAGGGACAGCGAGAGTTTGTCAACGAGCTGTCTATTATAACGAGCATTCAGCACAAGAACCTTGCAAAACTTCGAGGTTATTGCCTTGACCGAGACGATCGAATCCTAGTGTATGAATTTCTAGAGAACAAGAGCCTTGATCAGCTATTATTTGGTAAGAACTAGGCTACTTCCTTATTGGTTAGTCTCTCAATTTTGTGATTGTAGAATCGGCTACTGGAATATTTTTGGACTGGCCAACACGCTTTCAAATCGTCCTTGGTGTTGCGAATGGCCTTGCTTATCTTCACGAAGGATCCCAAAAGCAGATCATCCACCGCGACATAAAAGCAAGCAATATCCTTCTCGACCATAAACTACATCCAAAAATCTCGGACTTCGAAATCTCCAAACTCTTCAACCAAGAGAAAGGATTTACGAGCACCGTGATCGCCGGAACAATGTAAGGCCAGTTTCTTCCCATTTCTCCTCCTTATATTTCGATCTTTTTTCAGGGGCTATCTCGCTCCAGAGTATGTGCTTGGTGGATTGCTGACTGTCAAAGCCGATGTGTATAACTTTGGAGTCCTGACGCTGGAGATTGTCAGCGGACAAAGATGCAACGACCGAAAAGATGGCCGCCTGCTAGTTCACTCGGTAAGTTAAGAGATTTATCAAAGTTTCTAAGATCTATTAATGTTTTCTTATGCATGGATACTTCACGAAAACAGCAGCGAACTCGAGATTGCTGACCAGAGACTAGACTTGGAACACAACTCCGAAGAAATCTTGCGAGTTATCCAAGTCGCTCTCGCTTGCACTCACGAGAACTCGGCCTCTCGTCCATCGATGGGGGACGCTGTTGCCATGCTCTCCGGCTACAAGCAAGTCATAATCGCTCCCAGATCTCATGACAATTTGGAGGTAAGTCGAGAGTGGCAAAGTTGTGGAGCTGCCGGCACTGAAGAAGCTCTATCGAGTGGTAATGGAGCTCGGGAGTGGAGGGCAAGGCACGGTCCACCTGGTCATGGGGAGCAAGCTCTTAGCTGCAAAGTCACTACCAGAGGCGGCGCCGGGTCATACTCAAGCTAGCCGGTTGCCAAGGGACAATACAGCTCTATGACGTGGTGCTGGAGGAGGATCGCAAGTTCAAAGGTGGACGATGGTGGGGAACCCTAATTTTGGAGCTAGGCTCATTTGGACCAATCTTTAGGGTTTAAAGGATTAGGGTTAGCTCATTCGCGCGCCATCGCTGCGCTCTCGGCTATCCGCAAAGATGAGGATCATGATCAAAGGTGGAGTGTGGAAGAACACGGAGGATGAGATCCTCAAGGTCGCGGTGATGAAATATGCCAAGAATCAGTGGCCTAGAATCTCGTCCCTGCTCGCCAGGAAGTCGGCCAAGCAGTGCAAGGCGCGATGGTACGAGTGGCTGGATCCATCTATCAAGAAGGTGAATCGACTTCCTCTTCCTTGCTTCTTTTCTCACGGATTTGCATTTGTCTGCTAGACGGAATGGACCCGCGAGGAAGACGAGAAGCTCCTTCACCTCGCCAAGCTCATGCCGACGCAATGGAGGACGATCGCTCCCATCGTTGGGAGAACTCCTGCTCAGTGTCTCCAAAGGTATGAGAAGCTGCTGGATGCGGCGTGCTACAAGGACGAGAGCTACGAGCCGGCTGATGATCCTCGCAAGCTCCGGCCCGGTGAGATCGATCCCAATCCGGAGTCCAAGCCAGCTAGGCCCGATCCAGTCGACATGGATGAGGACGAAAAGGAGATGCTTTCCGAGGCAAGGGCGAGGCTGGCAAACACCCGGGGTAAGAAGGCGAAGAGGAAGGCCAGGGAGAAGCAGCTGGAGGAGGCAAGGAGGCTGGCGGCGCTACAAAAGAGAAGAGAGCTCAAAGCAGCCTGCATCGGGTCTCGTCTCCGCAAGAGAAAGTTCAAAGGTATCGACTACAATGAGGAGATTCCTTTCGAGAAGAGACCACCTCCGGGCTTTTATGACGTCGCCAACGAAGAGAGGTCTGTAGCGCAGCCGCGTTTCCCGACCAACGTTGAAGAGCTGGAAGGGAGGAGGCGGTCGGACATCGAGGCGGAGCTTCGCAAGCAGGACACTGCTCGGAACAAGATCGCTCAGAGGCAAGACGCTCCATCGGCGATCATGCAAATCAGCAAGCTCAACGATCCGGAGGCTGTGAGGAAGAGGACCAAGTTGATGCTACCGGCGCCGCAGATTTCTGACAGGGAGCTCGAGGAGATTGTCAAGATGAGCTCCTCGGCGGACAATCTACCTGGAGAGGACGAAGGGAGCAGCGCTACTCGAGCACTTGTCGCCAACTATAATCAGACTCCTCGAGCAGGGATGACTCCGGCGAGGACTCCAGGTGGAAAAGGCGACGCCATTATGATGGAGGCGGAGAATCTTCTCAGGCTGAGGGAGACGCAAACTCCTCTCTTTGGTGGTGAGAACCCGGAGCTTCATCCGTCCGACTTTTCGGGGGTGACGCCGAAGAAACGGGAGGTCCAGACTCCAAATGTGATTGCTACACCTCTCACGACGCCGGGAGGAGTAGGATCGACTCCTCGAATCGGAAGTACTCCCAGGGAGACGTCTTTTGCAATGACACCCAAGGGAACGCCGATACGGGACGAGTTCCACATCAACGAGGGACTGGAACTCGCAGCTGACAATCCCAAGGCCGAGAAGTTGAGGCAGGCAGAAGCGAGAAGGAACCTGCAGGCGTCGCTCAAGGGATTGCCTAACGCGAAGAACTTGTACCAGATTACGGTTCTCGGCGTTCCTACGGCGCAAGAAGAAGCCGAGGAGGAGATGGAGGCTGACATGGCTGACGTGATTGCAAATGCTCAAGCTGAAGAGGACGCTCGAGAAGCTGCTGCTCTCCGCAAGAGGAGTAAAGTCTTGCAGCAAGGATTGCCAAGGCCACCGCCAGCAACGGTGGAGCTGATAAGGAACACTATCCCTCGACACGCGGAAGCGGATGATCCAAAGGCGCTTATCCAGAAGGAGCTAGTCGCCTTATTGGAGCACGACAACGCGAAATACCCCATGACGGACAAGTCTGGCAAGTCTCCGCCTGTGATACCCGAGCTGGAGGACTTGGACGA